CGCGCGCTGCTCTTGTCGCACCCATCCGCCAGGACCGGCCCCTTCCCGGCACTGGGCACACCGACACTCACACGACTTGTGAGCAACACGCGCCACCTTGGTGGTTGCCGGTGCCAGTTGTGGTGGGTGGACCAGCCCGTTCCGGGTGGCGCGAAGGGGCGGCACTTTGCACCGCGCGACTCCGCACAAGGCTCAGGGTAGCCTGTGGCAGCGCGGGTGAGTGAGAGCCTTGGCCCGCCGGCCACGACCATGCCATCACACCTGAAAGGGAAGAAGGAGGGGAGGGAGGGGAGGAGGGGGGAGGGAGGAGAGGAGGGGGACAGGCCAGAAGAAGGGCATGGGGCAAGGAGGCAGAAGGCCAGACAGGAGGCGGAGGAAAGGGGAGGGGGAGGGAAGGGAGAGGAAGACGAGAACGACTAATCAATCGGGGGCCGGGGCCAGCGTGCCAGGCACGGAGCCAGTGGCTCCGGATGCTACAGCGCTTCACACCACAGCGCAGCACAGCCGCGTGTGTGCGTGTGTGGCAGCACATCACAGCACAACAAAGCACATCACGTCACAGCACAGAAACGCACAGCACATCACAGCAGCACATGACAGCACACGCCGCTTGGCGGGTGTGTGCGTGTGTATGTGAGTGTGTGCGTGTGTGTGTGTGTGTGTGTGTGTATGTGTGTGTCTTAGTGTGTCTGTGTCAGTGTGTCTGTGTGTCTGTGTGTGTCTGTGTGTGTCTGTGTCTGTGTGTCTGTGAGTCTGTGTCTAGATGTCTGTGTCTGTGTGTCTGTGTCTGTGTGTCTGTGTATGTCTGCCGTGTCGGTGTGGCTGTCTCTGTGTGTCTGTGGCCGTGTGTCTGTGTCTGTGCGTCTGTGTCTGAGTGTGTCTGTGTCTGTATGTCTGTGTGTCTGTGTGTGTGTGTGTGTCTGTGTGTCTGTGTGTCTTTGTCTGTGTGTCTGTGTCTGTCTGTCTGTGTGTGTGTCTCTGTGTGTGTGTCTGTGTCTGTGTGCATATGTGTGTCTGTGTGCCTGTGTTTGTGTGTCTGTGTCTGTGTGTGCCTGTGTGTGTGTCTGTGTGTGCGTGTCTGTGTGTGTCTGTGTGTGTCTGTCTGTGTGTCTGTGTGTGTCTGTGTGTATCTGTGTGTGTGCTTGTGTATGTGTGTGTGTGTGTGTCTCTGTGTGCCTGTGTGTGTTTGTGTGTGGGTGTCTGTGTGTGTGGCTGCGTGTGTGCCTGTGGGTGTGTCTCTGTGTGTGTGTGTCTGCGTGTGTCCGTGTGTGTGTGTGTGTCTGTGTGTCTCTGTCAGTGGATGCGTGTGTGTGTGTGTGTGTCTGTGTATGTGTCTGTGTGTCTGCCTGTTCGTGTCTGTGTGTGTGTGTCTGTGTGTGTGGCTGTGTGTGTGTCTGTGTGTGTCTGTGTGTGTTTCTGTGTGTGTGCGTGTGTGGCTGTGTGCGTGGGTGCGTTTGGGTGTGCGTGTGCGCGCGAGTGTGCGTGTGCGCGTGCGCGTGCGCGTGCGCGTACGCGTGCGTGCGCGTGCGTTTGGTTCTCATTGTGTGTGTGTGTCTGTGTGTCTGTGTGTATCTGTGTGTGTCTACGTGTTTGCGTGTGTCTGTGTTGTTTCTGTGTGTGTGTGTGCGTTTGTCTGTGTGTGTCTGTGTGTGTGTCTGCGTGTGTCTGTTTGTGTGTCTGTTCGTGTGTGTCTGTGTGTGTGTCTGCGTGTGTGTCTGTGTTTGTTGTGTGCCTATGTATGTTGTGTGTGTGTCTGTGCGTGTGTGTCTGTGTGCGTGTCTGTGTGTGTGTCTGTGTGTGCGTGTGTCTGTGTGTGTCTGTGTGTGTGTGTCTGTGTGTGTGGCTGTGTGTGTGTCTTTGTGCGTGTGTGTGTGTGTGTGTGTGTGTGTGTGTGTGTCCGTGTCCGTGTGTGTCTGTTTGTGTGTGTCAGTGTGTGCCTGTGTGTGTGTCTGTGTGTTCGTCTGTGTGTGTGCCTGTGTGTGTGTCTGTGTGTGTCTGTGTGTGTCAATGTGTGTGTCTGTGTGTGTGTCTCTGTGTGTGTGTCTGTGTGTTTGTGTGTGTGTGTCTGTGCTTGCCTGTGTGTGTCTCTGTGTGCGTGTGCGTGTGTCTGTGTGTGTGTGTCTGTGTGTGTCTGTGTGTGTCTGTGTGTGTGGCTGTGTGTGCGTGCGTGCGTGCGTGCGTGCGTGCGTGTGTGTGTGTGTGGGTTCGTGTGTGTGTGTGTGTGTGTCTGTGTGTATGCGTGTGTCTGCGTGTGTCGGGCGATAAAGGGCGCGCGCCCCGCAACTAGTAGCTACGGACCGTGGCCTGTGCCAGCGGGGCCCACATGGGCCGCTGAGGAACCACGGGGCAAAACCTGAAAGCACCAAACAACAACATTCTATAATCTCATCAACCCCCAGCACACTCTGCCATCGCAGACACGCCCAAGGGCCTTCCCGGGGGGCCTCCCCAGAGGGGGCTCATGGGGAATGCGATTCGCCCCATGCAGCCCGCTGGCATCGCACGGATAACCAACGCAAAACGCGGCGACGAGGAGCGCCCAGCAACCGCCGCCGCGTGCTCCCCTTTAGGCGCTCTCCCCGTAGGGGCGCTTCACGTCGACTCGCCCCGTGGGGCTCACGCCGACTCGGCTGGCCGCCGCGCCAGCGGCTCCAGCGTGTTGCGCGGGAGCTTGAAGTCTTCTTCCTGGCCCAGCAAGGCGGTCACGACGAAGCCATTCCCCATGTCGTGGAGGACCTCCGCTGTAGCACCCACGCAGGCGCCCTCGGTGACCCGCACCCTCGAGCCGAAAGGCAGGGCAGCGCGGGCGGTTGGCGCCAGCGGAGGCGGAGGCGGCCTGGCGAGCACGGGGAGCACGGGGAGCTCATCGGCCCACTCGTCGGCGGCGGCGGCCGCAGGCGCAAGCACGAGCGCGAGGCCCACGTGCGCATCTCCAGCTGCTGCGCCGCCGCCCACCACGGCCGCCTCCGCCACGGAGGCATCGGCGGGGGCGCCAGACCCCACGGCAGCACCAGCTTCGGGCCCTCCCCCGATCGCCACAGCCGCCGCTCCAGCGCCGCCACCGCCGTCACCGCCTCGTCCTGCCTCCGCCCCAGCCCCGCAGGGAGGCCTCGCGCGGCGCCGCCGCCGCCGAGCCCCGAGAACGGGCTCAGGCGGGGGGTCCTCCGCGGGCGGCTCGGAGGGAGCCTCCACGTCCATCCCGACGTCCGCCTCGACCGCGGCGCCCGCGCCGCCGCCGCCACGGAGGGGGCTCGGCTCCAGCTCGCGGGGGCGCGGCAGGGCGGCAGCGTGAGGCCGCCACCGCAGCGCGCAGCAGGCCCTCGGCCGCCCGCAGCAGGCGCACTCCCTCGAGGGAGCGGCCAGCAGCGAGCCCCGAGGCGGCGTGGGCTGCGAGGAGGGCGCCGCGCGCCGCCTCCTCCGCGCCTCGACGCCCCGCCTGCGGCGTGAACGCACCGGGCATGGCCGGGTGCGAGCGCGGCTGGCTCGAGTAAGCGCGCTCAGCGAACCAGGTTGAGCCGAACGGTTAATTGTTGTGTGTATGTTGTATGTGGTGTGTGTGTGTTGTGTGTACGTTGTGTGAGTGTGCGCGTTGTGTGTGCGTTGTGTGTGTGTGTGCGTTGTGTGTGCGTTGTGTGTGCGTTGTGTGTGCGTTGCGTGTTGTGTGTGTGTTGTGTGTTGTGTGTGAATGTGTGTATTTGTGTGTAGGGGGGTGGGGGGGTGTATGCGTGCGTGCGTGCGTGCGTGCGTGCGTGCGCGTGCGTGCGTGCGTGCGTGCGTGCGTGCGTGCGTGTGTGCGTGTTGTGTGTGTGTGTGTGTGTATGTGTGTGTGTGTGCGACTGCGTGTGTGTGTGTTGTGTGTGTGTGCGTGTGTGTGTTGTTTGTGTGTGTGTGTGCGTGTGCGTGTGCATGTGTGTGTGTGTGCGTGTGCGTGTGCGTGTGCGTTTGCGCGTGTGTGTGTATGTGTGTGTGCGTGTGCGTGTGCGTGTGTGTGTGTGTGGTGTGTGTGCGTGTATGTGTGTTGTGTGCTGCGTGTGTGTGCGTGTGCATGTGTGTGCGTGTGCGTGTGTGCGTGTGCGTGTGCGTGTGCGTGTGTGTGTGTGTGTATGTGCATTAGCGTGTGCGTCTGGTGTGTTATTTGGGATGGGGGGGGGGCCGTGGCCTGCCTCGGCCTCCCCCCCCCCCCCCCGAGGGCCGAGGAAGGATTGGAGCCGCCGCCGCAGTGCTTCGGCTGCCGAGCGCCGCGGGTAAAGGGGGGGGTGCGGGCGCGTCGCGCGTGCCACCGTCTCGTCGTCGTTTCGTCAGTCATTGCATGCTGGTCTGTACACATATCAATTGCACATGCACAATCT